TATGATAGCCGCAGGCTAACACTAGGCACAGCTTGTATCGTAGCTATTGGTTAATGCGATTGACTTACACCTAGGACTTAAACTAGTACTTTTACATTACATTACATACATACATACATACACTGATATAAAAAAGATAATTACATTGTTAGCCTACTTCAGAAAACGAGAAGATTCACAATTAGGCTTTATTTTTTATGTTTGTCACCTCGGAACTCCTCTATGAAGTGACTTGAAAAAATTCTTTTAAAGTGGGATGGTATACAAACTTCCCGATTAATTCCATTTAAATTGAAGAAGAAATACCCTCCTTGAGAGAGGAAAATTAATTAATTTTCACTGGCCTGTAGGTTTAGTGGATAGTGATTCTAACTGCTTAGAGGTCATGGGTTTTGATTCCCACCAAGGACAAATATTGTGTGATGAGCACGATCATTTGTTCTGTGTCATCTAATTTATCTATAAAATGTATGTATTTAGAAATATAAAAGTATGTTTATCAGCAGCCTGGTTACCATAGCAGAGGCTCTACCCAGTTTGGGATCAGACGGCCGTGTGTGCGATGTGTCAAGATTTTATTTAAAAAAAAATACAAAGAATAGGTGGCAAACGAGCAGACGGGTCATTTAATGGAAAGTGACTTCTACCACCCATGAACGCCTGCAACTCAGGAGTCACAAGCGCGTTGCCGGCCTCTCAGGAAGCTCGTATCGGAATACCGGAAATACCACAGACGATAACTTGTTACACAGATGGGTTGTACGAGGCAAAAATTGTCTTGAAGAGCGCACAGGAGTGGAGTACCAATTATCCAAATGATGGGTGATGATGCAATAGCCTTACATGTGTCGGAACACACATGGGGTTGTGTGGTTTTAGTTCGTTCGACTCTGACATACCACTTCAGAGTGAACCCCGGTGAGGTGATGACCCGTGGAGGTTTCCATACGAAGAAAATGAGTAAAAATTGAAAGATAACCACAGTTACGAATTATGTGGTTAATAATTATTTAAAATAATATACTGTCTCCTGAATAAAGTTATCCATGTAAACCTAAACCTCCAATTTTGGGGTACGGTGAACTAAAAAATGAAAAGAACTACGAATAGTAAGAAGCTGTAAATACTTGCACCAAATATTTTTATCAAAGGTTTATATGCCATATATACTTAAATTGTCTATAGTAATTAAGTGATATTTTATCTGTCTAATGAATTATTAATAGAACCAGCTAAACCAGTATTCGTTTTGAGATTAAAATATTATCAATCTTAATTTTACAAAAAGGCATTTGTAAAATAAATATTTGTAAATTGTTTTTTCTGTTAAACGACAAATATTTGTGTAAAATTAATGTATGCTACTCATCCATCGTATTTACGGAACTCTATTATAAACAAGTTAATAATTGAAAAAAAAAAACAAACAACCCGAATGCGTTGAAACGTATACCAATTAAAATTTACAAACCGGTGATTTTAATTTTGTCACTCACTCATAATTACGACGAATCTAATTCCTAAGAAAAAACTTCCGCATTACTGACTTACATTTACACTAATCTTTTATTCTTACAACCCAGAACACAGTAAAAATAGAACTAAAAATGTATTAATTTATAATTAAAAACATAAGGTGTTTGTAGATGTAAAAAAATCCAAAATATGATTTTTAAATTTTTTGTCTTTCTTTAAAATTGGTGTGTAATTTTGTAAGTTATTAAATTATTTTTTTAATGACTGGAACCGCATTTAGAAGTAAAAAAGGTTAAACATTGAATACCTTATTTGCGTATGGGAATTCTTAACAATTATCGGAGTTTCTTGTTGTAAGGTTGCAGATGATTTACGGGCGCTCGTCTACAGAAAGGTACAACACCGTAGAATAGCGTACTTCCATATGGGTCATTCGATTCTCGAACCACATCCTCATTACAGAACAGTTACAGAATGGTAGTCTAAACATTAAAAGTGGCTAATACTTTTGACTTTTGTTTTAGCGATGAAACAACCAATTTCACAAGAGCGATGTGTAGAAAGATAATCACTAATTAACACATTGCTAAGATAGATATAGTAATTAAATTAGAGTAGCATGACTCGGGCAATATCCTACCTACCGGGCAATACCTGACCTGAGACTACAATTGAGGTAACTAGGAAGGAATCTGTGCCTTTAACCTAGAGAAACTATTGCTGCGCTGACGACAGTGTGTTAACTATATCCTGCTAGACTAAGGCCCAAGTATCGTTCACGTCCGTAAAGTAACAAGCTCTAGTGTTGCAAGATCCGATCTGGTGGTATTAAAGTTATGCATGTTAGTCATTCTTATATTTCTTAAAATATTTTTTCAGGGTTAGGACTTCCTGACAATAACAAGTTTGGCTTACACCTATATGAACCTAACCTTTCTGAGCTGTTGCTAACACTCATTGACTAGCTGTTGCTTGGCTTCCTTTGTTGCCGATCTTGCCTTTTTAGTATAATCCCAATTCTTGATTTATAATTCTCGTAACTCTGTGTAATTCTGTAAAAGGCTTGAAAGTAGTAATAAATTGAAAAATAAAAAATTGTGGGTTTTCCATTCGCTTCTGTCTGCACTTCCGAGGATATAGAATTTTACTTATGTATATCAACCTACCTAGTTATATAAATACTTCATTGGGTGATAGGTATTTGGTATCGTTCTTTACTCTCGGTTGAAGGATCACTTTTATCCCTTGAATCTTTGTTAGCATTTCATTTCTTATATATTTGTAAGCTGTCAACGTATGATAAGGGACATGTTAACTAACTCGTATTTCAAACCGAACCAGATACCCATAGGTCGAGTGTATAATATAATTTCATTCAAATGAACATGCATTGTTTTATATTTTGAGATTAATTTTAGAGTACAGAGTACTTTGTATTTAATAGCTACTGATCATAGATGGTCGGTAAATACATGTTATGAAAAGGCTTCGTTGAATTTTAGACAGATTACAGCGCACCCCGTTGATGAGACACGATGTGAATTGTTAGAATTCGATGTTTTTAATTCGGAATATATGGTATGAGTTTTGCTGTTGGTTCTACTCTTACAGAGAGTTAGAATTTTCTAATTATGTACTATTAGTTAGCCTTTGTAACTTATTTTAGGTAAATTATCCTGGTGGCTATGCACGATTTCCTAGTTTAGTGACTGTATGATATAAATTTAACAGCAATTTGAGAATTAAAACAATACTTACATTAATACTAATCGATGAGTAGCCCGGAGTGAGTGCATTTTACTTTACTACAACTTACTTTGTTTGAAGAAAGTGAAAACTAAAAGTAAGAATATCAATTTAAACAATATTTAAATTTTCAAATTTATAATCACATAATTTGTTTTAACTAAGTACATATGAATATATTACAATTTCAATTAAAATAAATCTCAAAATAACAACAGTTTGGCATACAGTTTTATCGATTGATTAATAATTTCTTTAAAAACCAACAACATATAATATTTTGAGACCTAAATAAATAAACATTTTGCTATTTTGAACTAAGTTTAAGAGATCAAAACTTGAATCAGGTAACGATAATATAATTATAACTAATTTGGTACAGCGGGATTTATACTGACAATATTATAGGTTTTTTGTTATGCGTTTAAACATTAGAACGATCAAAATAAAACAAGCCAATCCCTCGAATATCACGAACCCATCCCTTTATCACAATAGTAAGAAAGTATATACGTATTATTCTTATACAAAAGTGTTGTGTATGATGCACAATGTAGATGGAAAACAAGTAACATCAGTGTGTCTAATTGTTGCTGACGCGTCTGTTATCGGCAATTATTAGGGGCAACTGTTCCGTAACTGGTCGCGGACATTGCGGTGAACAACTATGTACGTCCAATCCTCAAGTCATTTGCTAACACGCTTGCTTCAACGAATTTCAAATAAAAATTTTGCTGTTCACTACACGATATGGTTTTGAAATCATCTATTGTTGGCTATTTGTGATGGAATTTATTAAATTTTGCAAGTGTGGATTAGTCGTGAGCAGCAAAAATAAATTTAATGTTTGTTTTTTGTGTCGCATTATATTATGCAAATTAAGGCCATGCCATTCAAACTATTTTACGTAAACTTTATATTTTGTTTTAATATCTATGAATATAGTATTCTTCTAAACTTGCATATGGAATATGATGTAGTAATTACTTACAGCATAAAATATTGTTAGCTGAATTTATATTATTTCTAATTATTAGTTTAGGATGTACATGAAATAGGTCAATTTATTACAGACATAGGAAATTTTGCAAGTGAATTCTCCGTTACATTGTTGCATTATCGGCGTGGACACGTCACGGAACATCTAGACTCTCCATTAACTGTATTCATTTGCGCTAATAAATTCTAAAATTATATTAAATATCAGATACCGTCTTTGTAAATAGATACATCACCTCAATAGATATGTTCCACAAAAATACACCTTTCTCTGTTATCACAGCCCTTAATTTAGCAAGTTATGTTTTAGTACCATTAAATAACAAAATTTAAACTATAAATCAGATACAACTATAAACTTCGTAAGTACTCCTTAAGTACAAAACCTCCAATACCAATCTTAGCTCTGAATATTAACAAAATTAAATATCTAATTAAATTATAATCAAGACAAAATATCAAAGGTATCGTCGCTATTTGGAGCTTGGCTCCTTGAAAAATTTGTAATTGGACATGATAATATAAAATTTAAAAATTTCAAAAAGTCTACCTACTGCACCGTCCAACATGTGGATACAAATGCCGAGAGGTTGAATGTTAAATTTGTTTGGATTACGAATATGGTGTTGAGCAATCTCTCAAAACTCTGATTACAAAAGTGGGCATACAGTATACACAGGTCGGAGCTACACATGTCATACATTAATCATGAGGCTCTCTTGGGGGCGAACTCGACCTTTTTACTTACATCTAGTTTTAATGTACTAAATAACGAGTCATCATGACAGTTGACACATAAAATGATAGAACTGATCAAAGTTCACAGGCTCCAAGCCACACTCCGGATCAGACTTGTCTAGCAGTTCTGGGTTTCGTTTCAAAAAGTTCCTGACCCAATCTTCGCCAGCCATCCTAGCGTTTACATCAAAAGGATGATTTAGGTTGTTGTCTTCAGCATACTGAAAGGCCAATTCTCGAATATCACGTCTGGAGACCCCCATGAAATACTTCTCCATGCTCTTGATATAGCCAACTAAATCTTTTTCCTGACTATCTGTGAAAACTCTTCTGTAATGGCCCATTAACGGTTTAGGGTCATCAGGTTGCTGGTAGCGGATCTTACTAGCGCGTCTCTGCAGTGTAGAACGTGGGATGTGAAATGTTCTAGCAGCCAACTTGTATCCCATTTTACCAGAGACGACAGCCGCTACTGCCCTGGCCATATCATCTTCGTTCCAGGACTGACGACCACTCATTCTTTCGTATCTTCTGACCATTGCCGTCTGGAAATTTCAAGATTACCCATGAATATTTAATAATATTAAGCTGGTTTTATCATGCTAAAAATATCATCGGTTCGAGCAAGAACTACGTTGTTTTGACACACTCTTGTAGTCAAAACAATCATATCAGTTTATAATTTTTTGATTGGTAAAATGATTTTAGAGGCACTTCAGTGTTGTACATGATTCTGTTCTAATTAAAATATAATTATTAAAATAATATAATTGTTTTGGAAGTAGTGGTTTCGTTAAATATTATAGTCAGTAGTTAGGCACATATGAACGCTCGGCGAAGGGTAACCGCAGCCTTACCGGTTTTGTGGACCACGATCAATGCCAACTCGAGGTGAAAAAAATATGTCTAAAGACGTTCTATGTAGAAGGCAACGTTGAATAAATAATTATCATTGAAATATCTTGAGGTGGCCAACGGGTCGCTTCTGTTACGAAGCGATTTTGTATGTGTGCCTAACCATTATAACAGATACAAGGTCTTTTTAAGTTATTGCTTATCTTGTCACAATATTAACTTTGTAATATTTGAGTACAAGTTAATTAAAGCCTTATCTGTTTATCGAGCAAGGCCCGGAAATCAAGCGGGGCAAGTTTTGAAGAAAAGTGGTTCAGAACGAAGTTACTTTCAATTTCGAAATCACCTTTACTTTTAGGCAACCTTATTCACTTAACTTTGATATATAGCTTTATAAATTACTTCACATTTAAAGGGCTTAAAATAGTAAGATATTCTTTGTTGTATAGTTTAACGAGTTAATACACTAAATATAAGATCTAAAGGCGTACAATAAATTTGATTGCGCGTAACGAGTCCTTTAGAGAGTACCTATTGGCTGTATGTTATGGAGGTCGTAACGTGCTGATAGCGAACAACACACGATAAGGTATGGCGTGTTTTTCCAACGCGATAACTCGGGAGAACATCGGGGCCCCAGCGACTATTCAAACCGCAACACTTGGCATCATACCTATTTAGTATGTGTTTATGATTATTGTAAACAATTTCTTCTTTTTCACAAGTTATACTACTATTATTTTTAAAAATATTTGATTATCATTTTCATATTATATTGACAGTTCGAAAACGGGAAATACAACTCGTCAGTGGTCGACCGTCCTTGAATGACCGCGTCATATTTTTTATCTGTCCAAAAAAGAACCACGTCGTCAGCAGTCAGCTGTTTGTGTTAGTTCCATAGCGCGTCTATCAACAGCTCCCCCTACAATGATAACAACTGCTATGAGTCTTTATCTATCAGTAATATATACATTACCGGCTCCTATGGAATAGGCGTCTTAACATTTTAGGCACAGCGCGCAATGGAATACGATCAACATCGGCCCATCGTGATATTACGATAGTATCAGTGGAAAAGATAGTAGCGGTGCGAGTACGGCGTGAGTCGAGGTTATTCTGACGCGTGACTTGCAAGGTCCCCGCTGCATTGCACGATGCGCCAAGGTTGACTCGCTTCTCCGTACTAATATAACCTAGGTCCCAATAATAAATAAAATAAAAAGTGAAGCAAAATAATTAAAATGAAATAAATTTAATTAATTTTTAAATCTTCCCGCCCTCTATGCAAAAGTGAAATCTACATCGGATGTTATCGCGGTGCATCGCTGCAGTTAGACAATAGCTTTCAACACGTATGTAATATAAATATAATAAGGTCGCATATTGTTTACTCACGAGTGAATGTGTAGTTCAGGATCGCGTAGGCAGCGGGGCGGGGGGTTGGTGGAGGCGCTGAGGCGGCAGGCGGTGGAGGCGGCTGGTGGCTGGCAGCTGACTACAGGCTCGGTAGGTGGCGTGCGACCGGGCTGACGGCGCGCGCGACACTGGCGCGGGGCCCGTCTTGCCCCGCCGCCGGCCCTGGCGCGCTGACGTCACCTGGCCCAGGGCCCGACTGCGACGACTATTTTTGTCCGCAACTAATTATCTAGATCCTGCCTTTGTCCGGCGGTGTAACACTGACGAGGAAACCTGGTTTTATCTGTAAAACCTGTTGTGTTCGCTCGTTGCTAATTATTTTAACACGTCACTCTTGTCAATCGTCAATTTATTTATTTTTCGACAAACGTACACTAAGATACTACTGTGAGTCATTGTACTTGAAATTGTGTACTTCTATTTATCGTCAGTAGTAATGGTAAATTATACCTTTATTATTTTCAACGTTTAATCTTATAATAGTTTTGTAAGCAAATTGTAGTAATACGTTTAATTAGCAAGAACGGAAAGAAACACAGACAATTAAAATTTAAACATTCACCAAAATTGAAAATCTACCTATATGTAACTGTGCATGTTTCTTCACGACGCGCACTAACGTTAAACAAAGTATGCTAATAGTTTACTAATATAGCGTAGGTACTATTACCATTAATTTTTGTACATAAGGTAAGTACCAACATTACCATTATGACAATTAAAAGTGTTTATCCCAATTTAAATGTTATTTTGTGAAAGAAATGGTATCAATTAATCATAATTTAAAGTTTTCCAAACACACAAAATCAGAGAAGAAAATACAACGAAGTGTTTTGGTTATGTTACGTTACGTTTAAAAAAGTATATATATACAGATATATATATATATATATATAATATATCTTATGTTAAATATAACAACGATCATCAGTTTCCTTTTTTATCATTCTAGTTCTTCATATAGTCCACTGATAGATATAAATTTGATGATAAGACCATCCTTTGTACTTTATCATTATGGTTACACAATATATATATATATATATATATATATATATATATATATGTATTAAATTGTGATCAAACACTTCAAATGACACAATTGATGACAAATTAGAGATAATCCACTAACAGAAACACAAATTACATATCTTCGCATTAAGTACCTACGTTCGTGTTTAATTTTGCTACTTTACACCAAATACATAATAACTAACATTATGTATGATCAACGCCTAGTAAGTTATTCACATCTGATACAGATTTCTAATAAATTACATATACCCTATTGACATCAATATAAAGTAATATTGAAACACTTATTGTTTTTAATTTCGTATAGTTGAATTGAATGGTAGCCAAATGTTAGCGTGTGTAACAAAGGAGAAATTCCCCTGAGATAAAACTGTGGCCAACATTTAATGAGTCATCTGGTTTGTACGTTCTCAGTTGAGCTGGTATTCTCCCGGCGCGACTAAATAGGACAAAGTATGTACTACGTCATACCTCACTAGGTACGTACATAATATACCTCTATCTCTGCCACTACTCGTGTTTAATGCTTATAATACACAATTATATTTATTTGTCGTCCGTAATTTCGTTTGCAGCGCAATATTAATTGGTGATCTGTGATAATTTCCAGTGGGGCAAAAAGCGCAAATTGTGCACATTTTATTAAAATCTGTTTAGTGATGCATTTCTATGTCAACAACAGATGACAAATAAAAGACAACAGTCTATTGTTTTGCTAACTTTTATTATTTTTTACTGTCTCATGTTATTGTAAATGTTATTTATTAGTTGTTCCCCGCAGTTTCTTCTGCGTTTATGCTCTTTGCTCCATCCTTAAGGGTCGTGGCATGATTTTACTTAGTCCATTACCTATACAAAACAAAAATTATTATTTATATTTCAAAGATACTTTCGGAGATAGCGCTTTTAAACAAAAACGAACAATAACCTTTTCAGCTTATTATATAATAAAGCTGAAAAGGTCATTATATAAGTTTATAGTGATAATCATCGTCGTTTTCGACTCTCACCTCACTCATTCAAGCTAACAAAATTCTATGATTTTTAAGTTTCATGCACCTTTACCATTTTGAAAACAATTTTTTGTAATAATATAGATCAAAAACACTCTATACAAGGCAGATCTAAGTTATTTCCTAAACAAATAACTAACCTAATTATTGTTGTCAAAAAATGCTTCTACTCACAGTAGGTACCAGGCGCGGTTGCAGAGTGGAATTTGTGGAATTTTGGATGGGTCACAAATGATATGACAAGTAAATCACACTTTATTTAAAAACAAATGGAATTTTTGATTTTTTATTGAAAAATCGAGTGATAATATTTGACGTATGGAGTCATCTCAGGACGAAAATTAAGAAGAGAAACCTCTTAGTGTGTGCCTCTCTTCTAACATGTTCTTGCTCTTGAACTCTTGTTGGTTGAACCAAGTCTTCAGTTTGACGATTTTGGGGAGGGGGGACTAAATCCTGTAGCCCTGTATAGGGAACCTGCTAGGTACAAGTAAATTAGCAAAATATCAATCCCATATCCTATAATCTACAACCAATCTATTAAATCAATTACAACCAATATATAAATTCGATTGAAGGATTGTGTATTCTGAGTTGCGTTGTACATATTACATAATAGTACGACATAAAGTAAACTGAGTATTTCTGAAGACGTTATATCAAAAGATGTCGGTGACCGCTTAACTTGACGCGGTGTGTAAATAAGTAAAAAACATAATTTAAAAAACTAATATATATATCCTCGACTCAAAAAATATATGGAAAAAATAGCTAATAAGCCGATAATCAAATCAAAATCGGCTGAATAAATTTTATTGAACTATGACTGAGAAAACTCTTGCTTAACTGTAATGAAAGGCGTAAGGGACAAACATATTGAGACCTCACTATATTCAGGATGACCTTGAAAGTTTGTTTTCGAGTCATATCTCACCACAGGGGACATCACACACGAGGCTGTAGTGGTTGTGACTTGGATTCCAATGTCTAAATTATACAATAAAAATAAAACTGGTTTCCTTAAAACAACATACTGCTTCTCAGATCATAAGTTACGTACAGTAATCATGTACAGAATAAGATCGAATTGCAATAAATTGTTAATAATCACGCAAGTGAGAGTCTTACCGACGGATCATGCAAGCCAACCGAACTAAATTGTGTCAAAGAAATCTCATAAAAATCAGTTTTACTGTTAGCAAACCAAAGTGCGTTTTGAAAATACGCCTTCACATTTAACTGTTGATATCATTACTACAAAGATCATCATTACTGATACTATAGCGTTTATCATTTATAATAGTATGAGTATACACGGCCTCACAGAAAACCGGTGTTAAGCAATTCTTTCGTTGCCTTTCATTGAGTGAGTGAGGTTACCGGAGCCGAAATCCCCTCTCGACTGACTCGAGCGGAAGGGACTCCAAGGGCGGCAATGTACTTGTGATTTTGGAGTTGTAGGTGTCCATGGGCGGCGGTAGTTGCTTACCATCAGGTGACCCGTCTGCTCCTTTGCCTCCTTATACCATACAAAAAGAGTATAAATGCGACTCTAACTTTTATACATAGGTCAACTATGTATCAGATATTGACCCTAATATTTATAGGGATTATTGATGAAGTTGTAGAACTATGTACCTATTAAGTACTAGTATTTTTAAGGGTACTTATTAATTTCTTCTTCTCTGTTCTAATGTTGTTATTTCGACAAGAAACAACGACATGAAAAGTATACCTTTGTTAATAGTCAATAGCAATTATATCAAACATGATACGTTTATGTGTCCTTAATATTCTTTGTCAATGATAACCAAAACAGGTAATCCCGTTGTGTCATCTCATGCATACGTTATCGTTGACAGTGTGGGACGAAAAAAAAACTGTATCTCACTCCGTGGCTTCCAGATAATGTTAAGGTTCGTTATAAAATATACAGAGAATATTATTATATTTACTTTTTGACATTTAGAACAGCTTACCACCATAACACCAGATGTAGCTCTCCAAATACGCGTATGAACTAAATATTTACGATTTAAAATATTGTGTTCAAAATAAATACTGCTTTTAAGTAGGACATTAAGTCTTGATCAAATGTTTTAAATCGCCAGTAGTGTAAGTCGTCTCACTGGCGATCGTATTATTATATGTTCTACAACCAACAAGAAAACTCCACTAATGAACCCATTTTAACATTTTATAAGGATCATACGTAGGACCACTCGTACATCTTTCTTACTGTCTATCACAGCAGTGTAATTTACTAATTTACATCTTCTATTCACGCTCCGCACATGCATGCACCTTCGCCATACGAACCAACTTCTTCTCAACTAGCACTCGGCAGGTTTTTCTTCCTGTAAACCTGAAGAATCACGAAATACAGTAAATACAATAAAACCTAGTGACTCGTAGATTTCTAAAGTCAGGCGCCTCGTCGATTAACAAGTTTTGGAAGAGCCAGCTGTCTTTATTGTGTCCAAGTCCTGTAAGATAAGGTATTGTTCGAGGTTCTTGGCAATTCGTGGAAACTTATTATTATGTAGGTATGCTTATGTCACAAATAAAATATCTGTTAAAACGAAAAACCTTCATTTAATTGGAGACTCGGAAATCATTCTAGTCCATTATATAAATATATTTTTATAGCTTTTGCCTCAATTATTATTATTATTTGAAACAATGAGGCTGTCGAATTTATGTTTATTAAAATTGCTAACCGATAGTAAAAAAACACTATTAAACTAAATAATAGAAAGGGCAAGAACCTAATGTAACTCATTTCATAAATAGGTTCATAACAACTTACTAAAGCTAATTTAATTAAGTTTTCATTACAATACAATTAGGTGATGTAAAGGTTATTTGGTTCTAATGACAGTACTTATGATAAAAATCAATTGCGCTTAGGCGTGATAGATACATAATATATCGCATAGTGACTCACTTTGCCTGCGGTAATTGTTACTTCTTTTCAGTAGATCAGCTGTAACAGCGTAACAAACAGTCGAACAAACGAGACTTCAGGGCCTCAATTCTGCTATTTTAATATTGTATCAATAGATTGTCGATAGAATGTCATCGGAATAGTTTTGCACTTTTCTTATTCTACTATGTAAACATTATTCGTGAATGGCGTCCCGATGAATTGTCACTGATGATCGTCGATGTCTTTGTAAAAGTTTGGTAAACCTTACATTTTAAATTTGTAAGAATATGATATATTAATGTTTCCAGATATGGCAATGTTGTTGATATCACCACTGATGTCCTATATTACTATATCGACAGTCTATTGACACTGAATTTATGTTAGTATAATACCAATATTTTGACCGCTGTCAATGGCATTTTAATAGCGTGCCAATGGAATGACAGTGGCTTGGCGTTAACACCCAATGGCAGAATTGAGACCCTGATCTTAAAATTTATAATATAACAGAAAAATGCAACTGTAGCAAAAATGCAGTAATATTTAAATGTGTTTGTGTTTACATTTTTTATGGTAAAAGGAGGGCAAACGAGCAGACACGTCACCTGATGGTAAGTAACTACCGAAACCCATGGACACCTGCAACTGCACGGATGGCGTAGTGGTTTAAGCGGTCCCAACGCCGCTTACTACTACGCTGAGTGTTGTAGGTTCGATCCCCATATGGGACGACACTTTTGTGTGATCCACAAATTGTGGGTGGACGGGATGGGTTTTCCCCTCCACCCGTCATAACAGCCAGCCGCGAGCCGTCTCATAAATAGAGAATATACCCGAAGGTGGTGCCCGCGCCGTTGCGGGCAGGCGTTAGGAGGGGTCATCCGGACCCTTAATAACATCAGTTGGGACTAATCCCACCCACACGCCCAGCACTGTAACTCCTGTACACCAGGATCCACAGCAGTGACCCACGAACACACCGAGTTATGACACTCGGGAAGTCCCAGGAAGAAATTAAACTGTCTTGGAACCCGCAACGAAATTAATCAGAAGAAAATTGGAGGAGTTGGAAATACAGTAAATCCACTTCCCTCCTTAGCAAAGCGGGAGACAAAATGAAGTAAAATGGGCATACACCCTTTTAAACAGGGAAGCACCACGGCCACAAATATTACGGGTCCTACGTGAGCTATGTTTGATTTCTATAATATGTATGGCAGAATCGCCTAAACGCACGGAAATTCACCCTAGTTGACACAAGATCCCCATAGTATACCGCCCCAGATGTCACCTGCAAGCTATTCAGCATTATATTACGTTCATTACGTGCATTATATTAATAACATCAGTTCCCGGATCCCTCCTATTACAGGCGCAGAGTGGCACTCCGTGTGGTTTTAGTCGGTCCGATTCCGACACACCACCCCGCCGTAAACCCCGGTGGGGTCACGGCCCGAGGGGGTTTCCACACGAAAAAAAAAGGGTTTGTTTCAAGTTATCCTTCGCTTTGCAGTGCTGTTGTCCTGAATGACTTTTTTGTAAGTATTTCAAATACACTTAAACGTATGTATATAGTATGATATAGGGTATTAGCATATTGAGGACAACTGCTGTAGCAGGAATTACTGGGGATAATGGGGGGTTTTTATAAAAGCTAACAAAGCAATAATAAACATAAGATATGGAAATAAAATTGGGTCAGACTTGGGTCTGATATATTTCTACGTACTATGCCTTATACATATATGTCGTTATCCTTTATTAACCCATAAACTTACCTTCTTTCTAAGGAGAGGCCTATGTCCAGCGTGATGTGTGTGATGTGATGTGAAACTTACCTATTTTCCTTTTTATTCTATAAGATCACCATTTAGTAAAATTACGATTGCTTTATTTATTTATTTGTAGTTAATGAAAAACTCTCCAAAATGTACACATATGTATTTACATTAAAATTAAAAATGTCTCATTATTTCAAGTGTTTGGATCTAGGCTGAACTTGTAACCATTGTGTAAACTTTCTTCTGTATCAAAAGAACACCTAAATTTAAGAATAATGTTTTTTTTAACAATATTTTATTAAAGTATTGTTAAAAAAAACATTAGTACTTTTATTTCGGTTC